ATATATATATATATATAGAGAGAGAGAGAGAGAGAGAGAGAGAGAGAGAGAGAGAGAGAGAGAGAGAGTTAACAGTTTCTGGAGTCTTTCAATCAATCAAACATCAGTCACAATAATAATTCACCATTGGCATACAGTGGCGTAGGGTGGCAACGGGCAATGGTTTGGAAGCTCCGACACCGTCACAGACGGCCACAATATGCATCTCGTCTCCTGCTTCCTCACTGAGACATATCTATGACAATAGAAATGTAGTCATTTTAGTGTGATAATGCAACTGTTGAAGACTATGGATGTGAGTGTAGGTTATCAGGCTCACTCATACACTTATTAATAGATAAAATGTAAACATTAAAGTAATTTACTCGCATGTACCGAAATGTAAATGACCCATAAACACAAATGGTGAACTTCACAAATATCCTGGACAGTCTTTTATAATGAAAGTGAATGTGGACTACAAAATTATATATATTAAGCTTCATAAACTGCTATAAAGAACTTCAGACTCTGATGCATTACGGTTTTAATAACTTCTGCAAAGTCATGAATAAATAGGCTAAATGAATTAATGTATGCATGTAGAAACAAATCCCAGCAAATCAATGACAAACATGGCTGCCTTTGCATGTTGATGAACAATGTTCGAATCCTGAATGAAAAGAATTGACTGAGAAGATTGGTTCAATTAATCGAATGATGCGTTGATTGTTCACAAATCCAGTACTTGAGTTCTAATCATTAAATCAACGATCCAGTCACAACTATTAAGAGCTAACTGGAAAGACAGCTGAATATCACACATCATCATACAAGTTTCATAAATGCTTATAAAGTAGCTCCAGGCCCTGACACTTTTTTTTTTTAACCTGCTTTGGCAAATTATTTCAAGAGTTTTGCCCGTCGATGAAAGATTAATAAACAAAAATAATTTAAAAAAATCAAATTAAATAAATACGACAAAAACGGCTGCCTTTGCATGCTGATGAGCTACATTCGATTCATGAATTTAAAGAATCGACTCAATGAATGAGTCAATCGAATCGGAATGATGAATCGAATGATGCGATGCTTTGTTCACAAAACTAGAGTTGTTCACGGTACTCGAGATCAAACCATTAAATCAATGATCCAGTCACAACGATTACCAGCTCACTGGAGGGAAAACTGAATAACAAACGCCACGAAAGAAAAAAAAAAGTCACAAGTGTTTGTAACGACATGAAGGTGAGTAAATGTTGAGAGTTTCCATGCTGGGGTCTGAGGCTCAAATCTAGGTTACCGTTTTGATGAAAAACTGGTTCTCCAGAAGGTCATTTTCAGCTTTAAAGACAGCCGTGGTCTCAGAACCACTGAGTACACAACCTTTCAGGAAAGAAAGAACAAGTAAAAGCAGGCAAAACAATGTAGGCAACTGAAAAGGCTCGTTGTATAGGACAGAAATGCTCTTACCCCAGTGAACACTTGCTCTGTCAGACACAGATGATGAGCTGGATAATTCAGACAGACTGATTGAAGCTACAGAGTCATTTTCCATAAAGCAGCTTGTCATTTCAGCCAGCACAAACGGCGTGAGAAGAGAATCTGTGAATCTTTCTGCACCTGTTCTTCGCCTAAACGAGTCAGCTCGGCCCCAATCGTAAATGTTTGTTTACAAAGGGACGTTTAATATTTCTGGTAAAATAATCAAGGTACAGTCAAGATCAGTACCTGCAGCGAGGACTGAACAGCTACAATGATTTAATGTAAAAAGCGCTGCTCAGTCACATCGACGCACACCTGTAAACGGCGAGGAAAAACACTGCACGCAGATCAGATAAATTGATGAAGTTCAGGTGTTTTTGCCTGAGCGTGTGACGCGCTTCACCAGACACTAGAGGGCGCAAGAGCACCTCTGATCAAGTTTGCTGCCTGAGGACAGTTGATTTTTGAAATAGGCTACTTTATTAACTTAGTTTGCGTTCATTTTTACTTCTTTGTTATAGGCGTTATATTTTTATTTATTTTTTAAATGTAACGCTTATTCACTCACTTTTAATTCACTCATTTGAGAAAATGGTTGGTTTAAATCTTTAACATTTTTTTGTCAGTTTTAATCAAGTATAAGCATATAAAAAAGCATGTATTTTTTTGGATGCTTTTATTTTTATAAACCAAATTATAACAGCTAATTACATTTTTGCGAAATCCGTTTTTCGTAGTAATCTCTCTCTCTCTCTCTCTCTCTCTCTCTCTCTGTATGGTTTTGACTTCAGTATCTTTAGTTTTGGTCACGGGTTAAATCAAAATCTTTCAGATCACAGCCGTCTTTTAAATATGTATCGGTCTATGGGTCAAAGTGTGTGATTCACGATGTGAGATTATTATCACTCTAAAAATGACCGACTTGTGTTTCAAAAAGAAACTACTGACTTCTGATTCACATGTCAAGCACTGATTGAACAACAGTTTTTATTTATTTTTTATCTTGCTGTCTAAAGCAGGCAAATGCTTCTTGTCACTTACTAGATCTTGACTTTTACAGACTGGCTCACTGTGGCAGTGCAGTGTTTTGTAAACTCTTTTCTCTTAAATTAAAATAAAATCCGATGCTTATTGATTGGATAAAATAGAGTAATTGGTAATTATAATAATTGCATATATATTATATTGTGTAATGTTATGTTATATTAGAGTACATTATATTTGCTCCTCGCTTTTGATTGGCTGAGTGGCCTTCCAAGTGTTTACAAGTTTTTCTTGTATCTTTCTGTTCCTTTCTGTAGACTATGAATCTGAACTCTTCTATATTTTGTTGTAGTATCTGGTAACGTTACATATATAGATATAAGTCATTAAGTTCCTGTGTCATATTCTTGAGTATCCACCGTTTTCCCTGAACATAGAAGTTCCCTGTGATTCACACCGGAACCCCGTTTTGTTTTCTGATCAAAATATTTTACATTCACTTACTTTTCCCCCCACTTTGCTTTAGCTCCTATTTAACTCTCCCTTGCACTACAAATGTTTCTGTCTCTCTGTGTACTTGTAGCTTCTGTTTTTCTTTAATCAAATGATGGCAAATCATCAACGATTGATGTGTTTATCTGTACATGATTTAACTTGTTTAACTATGGTTGCATTTACACTACCATGCATTCAGAAGTTTGGTGTCGGTAAGATTTTTAAATGTTTTTGAAATAGGTTTCTTATGCTCACCAAGGCTGTATTTATTTGATAACTGATCTTGTCTGTTTTGTGTTGTTCTCTTTCCCTTTAAACTCACACTACTGCGACTTATACGCAGCTAAAGAAAAAAGAGCGTTTGCAGGGTATCAGTACAGTTCACTCTCCATCCAGATGCAGGCCGTGATGATCCTGTACCTCCACTCTCTGACTTCTTGAAAAGCCACACAGCATTGCTTAATTGGGCTCAAAACTCGTTTTGGTTAGTACATGTGTGTTTGATATTAAGTATAAAATAAACCATGATCTGAGTTTAGTAAGTAGTTAACAGTGAATTAATTATGGTTGGACCCCCTCAAGTAAAGTCATGGAAAAATAATGCATTAACAAACCGTGAGTTGATGTTAGTGTAGGGATAGTTAATAATGAGTTAAGTATGATGGCCCTTTGAAGTAAAGTCATGACATGATGACGCATTAACAAATCATCAAATAAAATATCATTGAACATGCCCTGAGAGTGTCATCCTTATTCCTTTACATCACCAGTACAATAAATAAATAAATAAAAACACAAAGATAAGGGTTATTTAGTTCTTTTATTATTTATTTACATCATTAATCCAAACATACCTATATAAAAATATGAAGCTAACTCAATTAAACGACAAAACAATACGGTTAAAAAGATAATACTGTTAAATAAATAGATATCAGTTTATTTTATCCTTGCTGAATAAAAGTGTTTTTTTTTTAGTTTTTTTTTTATCCTACCCCAAACTTTTGAACAGTAGTGTATCTCTGTAGAAAAATGAGTGGATGGACAGTGCCTGTGCTTTCTTCATCAGGTTTTTACATCTGATCTGTAGAACTACTTGTGTATCATTGAAGGGGGAAAAAAGCCTTCTGACCTTTAGTTAACCTGTTAGGATTTTTATTGTCTTGTGATTTTCACATGTGCCTCACTGTTGTTGCCGGGTGAAATTCTTGTACACATTGTTTTGGCAGGTGAGTCCAACTGTTGGCTGAGCTGCTTATCAGATGCCTAACCAATCTGTCCTGCTCTATGACATTTTTACATCTTTTTTGAGGAATTCTCCACATTCTCTTTTAGTACGTCCCAAAAGAGCAAATCCACTCACTCCACACTCATGTTACTCTCGTTATCGCCGGTGCCCCTGTTATCTTGGCATCAGCACCCTGCTCAGACCTGCAGTTTATTTAAAGAACACAGAAACATAAACGGGCACAGCATTATTTAGAATTATGGAGGAAACAGGAATTAAGTTGCTCAGATACTCTTGTGTAACGGACTTGTTTGGGTTAATATTATTTTAAGTCAGTGAAGTGAAATATTTAGGTATTTTGGGTTAAGCCCATCAATAGAAAAGATCACATATAAAACCCCCGCACCATCTAAATTATATATATATATATATATATATATATATATGTGTGTGTGTGTGTGTGTGTGTGTGTTTAGATCATTTTAAAGCTTTATTATTATTATTATTATTATTATTATTATATAATTCCCTGCACCATCATTTTTTTTCTTAAATTAAAATGTTTAGATACTTTTTAAGCCTTATTATTATTAATAGTTTATTCTTATTCTTAATAATAATAATACTATTTTTATAGTGACATTTTAAAACTCAAGTTTGCTTGTTGTGAAGAACCACTCAAATTAACTTTGTGGATTTTTTTTTTTTTTTTCAAACTTTGTGGATTATTTAATGCTACTTTGAAACTTTATTATAATTCAAATAGTGGCGTATTTTCATTAAGTTAAAGCACATCTGTAACAGTTTGGTTGTGCACACTGATGCCCTTAGTTGAATCTTGAATCCCCGTCAATCCACCATTTATTTGCTTTAGAGATTCTGAGCCACTCCGTTCGTCTTCAGCCATGATCTGATATACCTCTTTAGGAAAACTCATCTTCCCTCCTGACATGATGCTGTTTATTATGGCTTTGAGAGGTTTGGAGATCAGTATCTGCTGAGATTAATAGCTTTTTTCTTTTTCTTTCCTTCCAATGCTTAGTGCAGACAATTGACTGAGAGGAGGTACAGTACTGGTGTTGAAGTATCGTCAAATGCGTCGTGCCAGTCTAAATTTTTGACATTTTTCCTTGTGAATGCTGTAAGATTATTGTTTAGCCTTGCCCTGTATCCACATGTTTTGGTTGTTAGCTCATATTGTGCATTGAATGAGGGTTCTCGTTTAATTGTTTCCAGCCAGTAGAGCTGGAGAGATAAGGGTGTTGTTACATCCTGGTTTGTTGCTGTCACCAAATGAGCTGGCAAACAAACGCTCATGCACGCATACTCTATATCTGTCTGGTGAGCTGTAACTAATTGATGTATGATGCACTCAATCATTGTTTATGTTGTGCTGATTATATAGACTTATACTGACATCTAGTGGTGTGGATGCATAATAGCATAAGTTACCAATTGTAGAGGCAAGGAAGGAATTGACAAAGTAAAGTAAGTTGGCTGGTTTTGTGATCTCAACATGTTGGCCCCCATGTGACGCCCCAATACATGTAAAATAAAACTGCTTTTATTAGGCTACTGATATCCCATGTGAAAAAGAAGCACACTGTACTTTTAAAACAATTATGCAATATACTTGTAATATACTGTAAGTGTGAAATGAATGTAATGTGTTTGGACACTTAATTGGATGCAGAAAAAGTACTTAAGTGTGTTAAGAAACAGTCATGAAAGTGCACCTAAAATACATTTAACTAGTGACCTTTTACTACAAGTAGAGTTTTTTTTATGTACTTTTAAGATTTGAAAGTCACTACAAGTGCACATTCAATACAACAAAGGGCACTTATTTTTCATTAGGGATGACTGGAGTATTCATGTGAGTGCACATGACTTTAAAAGTGATTTATTTCTTTATTTCTTTTTTAAAGAGGGAGAAATGATTAAGTGCACATTTAAATAACTAGGCCTATTCTAAATCTACATCAGTGATGAACACATTGCCTTGTCATTTTGATGCGATGAATTTAAATCTAAACCATCTTAACTGTACTCCTCACTCATTCTGAGACCCACATAAAGAATGTAATATTTTTAATAGATTTAATTTTTGAGCATTTTGATAATTGAGCATTTTTGTCCGCTCAAACATTCTTTTGCCCCACATACATATAATTGCATACATTTAGGAGGTTTTTATGTACAGAGCTTGAAAGGTAGACTGAGTTCTTAAAGATTTGATTGCTTAAAATGTTTTTAATATCAATTAGTATTCATCTGACATTTCATTTTTGGTTTTCCTTTGCATTCTCACTTAAATAATACATTTATATCTACCACTGTAACTGATCAAAAACCTGAAAAAAGAAATGTACCTAAAATCCTCTTCTCATTTGTCCTGTTATCATAACATCCGGACTCCATCATCAGATATTATAGTGCTAAAGTTATCACAACTGTCCAATCCTTGCTAGAAAAACTTTTTGATAGACTGTAATTCACGCCGTAACAGAGGAAATTCAGTGAAAGAGGAAGTGGTCTGTTTCGACTTATGAGATGGCATTGTGATCAGTGCAATCTGGAAAAAATTTCAAAACTACATTTTTTTTGGCAAGTATCACATTAAGCATAGCAAGTCATATTATAGAGCACATTGGTGAATGTGTTCCCTCTCGGCCCCTATGTCAAAAATGTATTCTACAATATTAGGTTCAGGTGCTTGCTTATGTTGTAGACCTATAATAAAAACAATATTGTGCGTAGAGTCCTGTACATTGCAATGGTTGGAGGAGTGTAATGCTTTCTTTGAATTTACAAGAAACTGGAATTTTTTTTTTATAAAAAAAATAAATAAAATAATATAGCAGCACTGAACATGAGCCAGCAAAACAGATCAATCTGATGAATGTCAAAGTAAAGGATAATTTTTGAATAGGGATGCATGATACAGTATATAGGTTATTGGATAATATTAGATATTTTTTCTTTATTTATTGGTACACCTCAATATTGGATATACACACTGTAAAAAGTGATATTTAAAAATTAAACATTTAAATAAAATGGATTACTAGAGTACATTTTACGAGAAAATGTTTTAAATTTAAGAAAATTTCAGTTTTTCTATTTCAGAATTTCATGTTTAATTGCTGTTTCTTTATAATTAACTGAAATTTACTAGCAATTTCTGTGTGAAAATTGTTTATACAATTTTTCACAATTTTTTTCAGTGTAATTGTGCATACTTGATTACCTTTGTATCATCTGACACTTTAAGTTCATCTTCAAGATTACATAATCACTGTTTGAGAAAAAAATGAAATGATAGTAATTAATAATAGTAATTGTAATCTTTAACAAATGTATTTCTTAAAACAAAATAGTGTGGAATTTCAACATCAGCTATATTCATTGGTCATCGGCTATACCATGAAAATTATTATTGGTATCGACCAAAATTTTAATATCAGTGCATCCCTTTCTTTTTTTTTTTTTTTTTGAGTGAACGAAGAATTGGTCTTCCTCTCATTGTCTGTTTTCAGTTTTACACAGTTTACACTCAATTGCACAACAACCAAATTCAAACGCTCCCATTCAAATTTGTGAAGCACATTCTCAGGAGTGGAGATGGATTTTAGAGCGGGAAATCTTAGCTTATATTGAGTTGGCTGCACTGGGGAAAAAAAAAAAATCAGTGGACTACTGAAGTGTTAACCTGTACAACACAGATATATTAATGTTGCAAGCATTTTACACATTCACAACTAAAATGTGGGGAGTAAAATAAATAATAATAATTTATGATATTGTACAAAATCTAAACTTTTTATGTTTTAAAAAACACTCTGTGCTTAAAGAGTCTACTCAGAGTTATTGTGTCCATGTATTTAAAGAAGTCCATTCTCAGAACATAGCACTAAAACACATGTTGGAGGACCCACAGGTCTGGTTCGTTTTTTGCCAAACAAACCAGACCAAACCGGGCTGAAGTGGATCGCGCCAGATCTCCGCGGCTTACGGATAGAACGTAAGCAGTTTCGGATCGCTCTGAATTACACTCCTCCATGAGCAGTACCAGTTCAGTCGTTCTCTCCATAGATGGGCTGTTTGTGAGTAATTTCTCTCAGCGCTTGTCTCTCTGTGGTTATATCTTTTCACTCTTTTGTCTTTCATTTTTGGAGCTGGTTCCCCTGATGGCTTCATGGATGTTTTGCTGGGCCCTTGTGGTCTCTGCTGGGGAAGTCCAGCCAACTGTGACGTAGGTCAGTCCTTTAGTCTGTTTCTTCATCAGCGTCCTTTTCTTTCAGCCATGCTAGAAACTTTCAGCCATCCTGCCCCTGTAGGTTACAGCTGGAGAAAAAAAAAAGTAAAAAAGATCAGACTGAAGTATGTATTTTCTTTTCAATGTTTACTACATCGCTTTCTCTTGTCCCAGCTAAAAGGGATAGCTCATCCAAAAATTTAAATTTTGTCATCATTTTCTCACCCTCAAATTGTTCTAAACCTGTATGAGTTTCTTTCTTCTGTTGAGCACAAAAGATATTTTGAAGAATGTGGGTTCTTCAAAACAGTTGCTGGTCCCCATTGACTTTCATAGTAGGGAAAAATACTATGGAAGTAAATGGAAACCAGCTACTGTTTGTATTACAATGACAGAATATTAATTTTTGGATGAACAATTCCTTTAATCTGAAGAGACAACTATGAGGTAACCATTTGTAGTTGCTATTAAACGTTGTCTGATACAGCAACATTAGATCATAAACCAAGACTGGGGCGTTACTGTTTCTGACCAAAGTTTGAGAAATCTGTGAAATCGTTTGAAAAAAGTTGTTATTTATTTATTATTGTGATACAGAAAAAACTCACTTCTCCTTTAAGGGTTACAAAACTTGCCACGTTTGGAAATTCAAAAGTAGCTGTCTGATATTACATTTATTTAAGTGGTCAAAGCTGTGTACACCAATGGAGCCAGTATGGAAACATTGCCAAAAACACTGGCTGCATGTCTAAATGCAAATCTGGTCACTGGCTTGTAAAAGGCATTAACTTGTCAAATACTATTTGGATGGACTAGTACTACCTCCTTCCCTTGTCGCAGGCCAGTTACCAAAATAGCTTAAAAATATGTTGAATATGGCAGATTCTTTCCATTTAAACTGAGGGGACACAGATATTTGCCTTTGAAAATGAAGTTAAACAGGCTTATAAAGTAAAACAGGTAAATCTAAAACGCTATTGCACATTAATAAGCTGGTCTGTCAAATTTATATATATATATATACAAATTTAGGGTAAGTCTTTTTTTTTTTAGAAAATTAATCTTCTTTAGCAAGGATGCATTAAATTGATCAAAAGTGACAGTAAAGACATTTACGTTGTTGCAAAAATATCTATTTCAAATAAATGCTGTTCTTTTTGTTCATCGAATCCTGGAAACAATGTATGACAGTTTCCACAAAAAGCACAACTGTTTTCAACATTAATAATAATAAGAAATGTTTCTTGAGCAGCAAATCAGAATGATTTCTGAAGGATCATGTGACACTGAAGACTGGAGTAACGATGCTAAAAATTAAGCTTTGCATCACAGGAATAAATTACAGTTTAAAACATATTCAAATAGAAAACAGTTATTTAAAATGTAATAATATTTATAATAATTGTAATAATATTACTGTTTTTACTGTACTTTTGATCAAATAAATGCAGCCTTAATGAGCATAGGAGACTTTCTTTGAAAAACATTAAAGCGTCCTACTGATCCCAAATTTTTAAACATTAGTATATCATGTCAGAATTTGAACCCAGTGTCTCATTGCAGTGTTTTTTATTTATTTTTATTTTTTCTACTTTGGTCATGTCTCATCTTGCCTTGGGCAGCAAATGAGTTAGGAATGCAAACTGGTGCCCCCTCATAAAAAATATATGCATGAAGCTTCAGGTTCATCTGTAGCAGATGGTACACAATTTGCTAATTAAAATTGACTTGTTGGTTGGATCTGTGGGTTCAGCAGTTATAGCGCATCTATGTCTTACATGACCAAAGCAGGTTTTAGACCAGTCTACAACATGTCTCAATCCCTCTCCATGGTCTCAATCTCCGCTGTCTTTCTGTAATACAGACTGGCTGGCCAGGTGATAGTTTTGACAATTACGTTCTCAGTTAGGCATCCCTCATGTCATAGCAGCCTCTCCTTAACCTCGTCACACTGCTGTGAGCCCTACCTCTTCTTCTTCTCCAGTATTTTCTTTCGCTTTAAATGCCTGAGATTCTGATCCTATCTCCGCTACTGTACATGTCTCCACAGGAACACATAAACAATACGGAGCATTTATGTGCTATCAGAGGGAAGAGGAAAAAAACAAAATGAGAAATGTTCTGAGAGTGCCCGGCCCACCGCTCCATCCTCAGGGGGGCAGCGTGATGGAATATAAGATGACCGGACACATTTAAAGGTTCTAGGTTTAATTAACGGTCAAAATAAAACAGTATTAAAAAATCTTGTTTAAGGCGAGACGAAGACTGCATCATTTTAAGTCTGTTACGCTCACTAAGGCTACAATTATTTGATCATATTTGATTTTTTATATGTATGTTGTTGTTAAAAATAAGTTTCAATTTGGGAATCTGATTTTCAAATTGGAAATCGGACCAACACCATCCGATTTGATTGACATTGACATAATATCACGATCAACCACATTGGTGTTTGCATCGACATTCAGCCAAGGCTAATATTCCATTGCAAGATCCAAAATGGAATAATCTCCATGATTCATTGTCCACCTTGCCATATTAAACAATACACAGCCCCGTCCTTGGCCGCCGTTAGCCTCATCAGCTGGAAGCCCACTTCACCCCTAGCAGCGGAGGTCAGTGGCAGCGCGGCCTTGCTTCTGTTTTGAGTTTAGCCAGTGCTTTCAGGTTAATCTGCGAGAGGCTGTTAAGTGTGAAATATTTGGATATTTTCCCATCATTTCAAATACTGTGTATTTAGTTTAAAATGTCTTTTTCTGAGTAAAGGTAGATGGTTATGTTGGCCACTATATTGGACACCGCTTTATTTGGGAAACTGGTCCAGTCAAATGTCAGATGTAAAACATGGTCAACTTCAATGATTGATGACCTGAAAATATTTTAATCACATCTGGCCTTGCTTCCATGCCCAGAAAGGCCACCTGGAACACGTTTTGAATTTCTTCGTTTTGTGATCTTGCTAACTCAGCTCGAGCCATTCCCTCCTGTCATGCTTCCACTGCTGCTTTTCTTACAAAACTATTCATTAAAACAGAGAGCTTTGGGAGTTACCTGACACTGTAGGGGTCAAAGGGGTCTGTTATGTTATAATTTCAAATTGGGGGTGTACTATTCCCAGTGTAATTATTCCAATTAATCATCGAATGTATGTCATGACACGACTGCACGTTTTTCCATTTCAATATTCATATCCACACTATTATTATGTCCCGCTGGCTGTGTCCGCTTATCGGAATTGTTTCATGGTGGCACCGCCATCATTCATCACATTCAGCTCTCTGCCGCTGTTATGGATTCATTTGTGATTACATCATAAAGAATCATAGGAACGAGGGTATTTTTAACCTTTGGTTTCTGATGCGCTGACAGAATATGCAGCTTCTTTTTTGTCTGCCGCCATCCAAATCCATGTGAGGACAATGAAAAGAAGGCCGCAGAGTCTTCATTTCCATCGCACACTTGATTAAAACTTTGTTTTTCAGCCAGCCACATCATCGTCCTCCGGACAGTTTTTTTACTTTAGAAACCCTTGTTTTATATAAAAAATGGTACTACTTTGCAATAAGGTTCCCCTTGTGAAAAAGAAGTGCATCTGTATTGAATGTGCACTTGTGTAATTAATAAAATTAATTAATACTTAAGTGTACTTAAGGTTTGTCTATGTTTCTTAACACACTTAATGTCAAATTAACATGTGGTTGCCGCAAGCCCTTCGGATGCTCCTTCGTCGAATCCGCCGGCCGCGCCGTTCTCAAGCCCACCGCCTCTGCTCACTCTAGCTCTCCGGCCGTTCCTCACTCTAGCCCCCGGCCTCTGCTCACTCTAGGCCGCCGCCGCTCACTCTAGGCCACC